GGGGTCGGGGTGTAGGCGATGACAGTCGGAGGGGAGGGGGGTGTTGTCACCCCCCCCTCGTCGCGGTGACGCTTGGCGTGACGGCTGAGGGCGGCCGCCGTCTTGCACACCTTGGCGCAGCGGCTACAGGCGAAACGCAGCGATGGCCGCCGGCCCACCCGGGGGGGCTGTCCCTTGTTGTCACCCTCACCGTTGTTGTCACCCTCACCGTCGTCACCCTCACCGTCGTCACCAACACCCAACCCCTCGTGTCCCCGTTGGTGTTTCCGCAGCTTTTTGGAGGCGCGGAAGGTTTTCCCGCACACCCGGCAGGGGTGGGGGTGGTGACGGTGACAATCCCGCCGCCGGTGGTGGTGGTGGCCGTCCCCCTCCTTGTCACCGTCACCGCCATCTTTGTCACCCGTCGCCACCTCCTCTTCGCCGGCGTCACCCGGCCAGCGCGGGGAGCGCAACTTGCGGCGCCAACGGGGTCTCTTGGGCTTGGTGGTGTCACCCCTCTTGGTGTCACCCCTCCTGGTGTCACCCCTCCTGGTGTCACCCTTCCTGGCGTCACCCCCCTTGGTGGTGGTGTCACCCCTCTTGGTGGTGTCACCCAACTTGGTGGTGCCGCCACCGCCGCCGCCGCTCTTCCTCTTGGGTTTGTAGCTGTAATATGGCCGCCACAACCGATCTTCGGCGTCGCTGTCACCACCCTCGGTGGCCGGGTGACGGCGGTGGCCACCGGTGGTTGTGGTCACCCCCCCGGCGGTGGCCGCCGACTGCAGGCGGAGGTCGGTCTCGGAGATGCGGCGCTTGACGATGGCCTCCTCCCCGATGCGGACGGTGATTTGGCAGAGAGGGGCCGCCCGGTTGTCCCCCGGCGTCCCCACGTAGGCGGGTTTGGCCACGTAGGTCATGGTACGGCCCACGGTGGTGGTGGTGGTGGTGCTGGTGGCCACGGCGGCGGTGCTGGTGGTGGTGGCCACCACGGCGGTGGTCATGGCGGCCACCACGGCGTTGTCCCCTCCTCCCGCCGCTCGCTGGGCCTCGATGTAATCCCTCAGGACTTGCTTCTTCATGGGCCGCGCCGCCGTGGCCGGCGACACCGATGGCGGCACCGATGGCGGCACCACCGACGGCGGCACCGACGGCGGCAACGATGGCGGCAACGAGGCCACCTCCCCGGCTCGCCCGTTGTAGGCGATGACGGAGGCCGGCGAGGTCATGGTGGTCCCACCACCACCACCACCACCTCCTCCTCCTCCTCCTCGCACGATGACGGAGGCCGACGGGCGCCCGTAGGCGATGACGGACTCGGGTCTGGGTGAGGAGAAGGTGCCACCATCACCGGGAGGCAACGGGGGAGGCGGCAGCGGCGGCGGCGGCGGTGGTGGCATCTTCGCCACGTTGCCCGCGGTGGTGGTGACCAAGAGGCCGTCGGCCATCAAGCCACCTTGGCTGTAGGTCTTGTAGGGTCTTTTGGTGGCCGCCCCACCCCGGGCGGGCAACAAGCGGTAGAGTTTGAGGGCGTTGAGTTTGGGTTTGTAACCGCCGTTGGGGGTCTTCTCGGAGGAGATGAGGGCGGGGTTGATGCCGTGGGCGGCTTTTTGGTGGGTCTTGAGGTTGTAGTAGGTGACGAAGGTGTCCCAGCAGAAGACGCACTGGTAGCGCCGTTCCCCCGTGTGCCACACCTCGTGTTTGGTGCGATACTCGGCCAAGGCGAAGACCTTGTCGCAGTACCGGCACGGGTACTTGCGGCGCCAGGAGTGGACGTTGGCGTGACGTTTGAGGCTGGAGAGGGTGACGTAGGAACGGTGGCAAACGCCGCAAAGGTAGACCAGGTGGCCGTCCACCATCTTGACCAACGCTTCTTCTTCTTCTTCTCCTCCTTCTCCTCCTCCTCCTCCTCCCAAGGCGCGATGGCGGAGGAGGAAGGCTTTTTTGCCTTGTTTCGGCGGCGCGGTGGTGGTGGTGGTGGTGGTGGTGGTGGTGGTGGTGGTCGGGGGGAGGTCGTCGTTGAGGGGGACGTCGTCGCCGCAAAGAACTTCGTGGGTTTGGAGGCGCTTGACGTGGATGAAGGTCTTGCCGGAATGGCGGCAGGCCA